AGCCCAAGATCACCAAAAAATCAAACAAGCCAAGATACTTCAGCCACTACCTTCCTCAAAGCCCTATACTCTACTTCAGCAGATGAAAGGGAAATAGTAGGTTGCTTACTCTTCCAAGAAATGGGGCAACCATCAAGGTAATAAAAAAACCAGTGACAGATCTCCTTGAGAAAGCACAAGTGGCCCAGTCAAATCAACAAGAGAAAAATCAGTTGTATTGGACAACAGAACCCCCTGATCAGGAGCAGTCATAAGGTATCTCAAGACATGTAGGGTAGCTAACATATGAGGAACCCTGGGAGTCTGTAGAAATTGACTCAAATGCTGAATAGAATAAGCAATATCAGGCCGGGTATGTTGCAAGATGTTTAGCTTGCCAACCAGTCTACTGTAAAGACTAAGGTCTGGAAGAAGGTCACCCATGTCAACTTAATAGAAGGATCCAAAGGGGTGGAAAAAGGAGAAAGATGAGAACGCTTGAATTTCTCCAACAAGTCTGAAGTATACTTGTGTTGATGCAGAACATAACCATCAGAATGGGAGGAAACTTCAAGACCCAAAAAATAATGGACCAAACCAAGGTCTTTGATCTTAAATTGATCATCCAGAAACCGTTTTAAAGCAGTCATTTCAGCAATATCAGAACCAGCAAGAAGAATGTCATCCACATAGACCACAAGGATGACCAAAGAAGCATCAGAAGACTTGGTGAATAGGGAGTAATCATTATTGCTGGCAATGTAGCCTTTTGAGAGCAAGGCATCAGACAGCTTAGAAAACCACTTCCTGGAAGCCTGCTTAAGGCCATATAAAGACTTCCTGAGTTTATAAACCAAAGGAGAAGTAGTGGAAGAAGAAGAGGAAGAGATTTGAAGACCAGTAGGGATTCCCATATACACTTCCTCATGGAGATCCCCATGAAGGAAGGCATTATTGACATCAAGCTAAAAAACAGTCCAATGTCTCTTGACAGCCAAAGAAAGGAGACACTTAACAGTAGTGAGCTTGACAACTGGAGAGAAAGTCTCAGTATAATCAATACCCTCCTTATGAGTATCACCCCTAATGACAATCCTGGTTTTGTATCTCTCAATGGAGCCATTAGACCTCTGCTTAATCTTGTATACCCACTTGCAGTGAATGACCTTCTTATGAGAAGGTAGGGGGACAATGTCCCATGTATGATTAGCCTCAAGAGCTTGGAATTCCTGTAGCATGGCATTTTTCCAAGCAAGATGAGATGCAACCTGTTGGTAATATTGAGGCTCAAGCATGTGCAAATCAGAGATGGAAACCTTGTGATTCAGGGAGACAGGTAGGGAAGGGGATGTGATAATAGAGGAGCAAACATAATATGATAGGTAGACATGTGGGTTAAGAACTCTGCTTGATCTCCTAAGATCAGGAAGATTGGGGGGGGGGGGGGGGAGGATCAAAAGTGGAAGGTGGAAGAGAAGAAGAAGTGGGTGTAGAAAAAGTGTTAAGAGGTATCAAGGGAGAAGAGACACAAGATGCTAGGGAAGGAGAGGCAATAGGAGAGAGATCAGAGTCAACAAAATCAGTGGGAGGAGAAGGGAAAGAAGAGGAAGGAGGAAGGTGGTAAGGAAAGATGTGTTCATGGAAGAACACATCCCTAGAAAAGAATACAGAATGAGTAGAAAGATTAAGAAGTTTATAACCCTTCTTCCCATAGGGGTATCCGAAAAACACACAAGAGATGTCTCTAGGTTTGAATTTATCCGTGCCATGCTTGGGACTATTGGCATAGTAAAAGCATCCAAAAGACCTCAAATGATCAAAGGAAGGGGGATAGTCATGTAGTTTTCCAAATGGAGAAAGGTTGTGAAGAACAATGGAAGGTAACCTATTAATCAAATAAGTGGCTGTGAGAACACAGTCACCCCAATACTTGAGGGGAAGTTTAGATGAAACAAAAGAGCCCTAGACACTTTCAATAGATGTTTATGTTTTCTTTCAACCACTCCATTTTGTTGGGGAGTGTGAAGGATACTAGTCTGATGGAGAATGCCATTGGCAGAAAAAAATTGTTGGGCTTCAGAGGTAGTACCTAGCTCATAGGAATTATCAAACCTAAAAGACTGGACAGTTGAGTTAAAATGAACTTTCACCATTGCATGAAAAGCCTTAAGCACAGAAAGGGAATTGCTCTTGCATGACAATAGGTGAGTCCAAGTACTCTAGAAAAATCATCTACCAAGGTTAAAAAAATACCTGAACCCATTATAGGTCTGAGTATTGTATGGACCCTAGATGTCAATATGAATAAGCTGGAAAGGGGTAGAGGAATGAATAGAGCTGTCAAAGAATGTCAATCTCTGTTGTCTTGCCATTGGGCAAATATCACAAGAAAATGTTTGTTTAGGTGAAATCTTATCAGACAAAAAAGTGATAGATTTCATTCTATTAAAAGGAACATGTCCCAATCTTTAATGCCAAATCACATCATTTTTATTAAGATCAGAAGAAATACTAGTACAATGTGTAAAAGAAACATTTGCAGGAGTAGATTGAACATTATAAGAAGCACTAGAATTATTACATTGAACAGGATTAGAAACATTGATAGGAAAAGAAATAACAAACATAGGAGATGAAGTCATAGCAGGATGCAAGAAGTATAACTCATTTGCAGCTTTACCAATTTTCAGTGGCCTCCTCAGAGAAGGGCCCTGTAAAATACAAGCAGAATGGTAAGAGTTGCAATGCATCTGAATTGAACAAGGAGTTTGTGAATAGATATGAGATTGAAATGAAAAGAAGGAACTAACAGAACATTATGTAAGATCATGTCTGTCCGGAGTGGCATAGACCTAGTAGATATGACTTTCACTTTATATCCATTAGGCAAAGTTATTAAGAAAGGAGTGGTGAGTGGTGTTAAGTTGATTAAAAGGTGTGTGTGTTGTGTCATGTGGTTAGTAGCACCTGAATCTAGAATCCAAGGATTTGAACCTAAGTTTGAAATTACACATGCCTGAAAAGCAGCAGAATGCACTTCAGGATGATTAAACACACCTGCAAAGTGAGCAAAACCAATATTTTCTCAACCAGGAGTTTCAGGATGTATGACAGAAGGATGATTCAACTGTTGGAAAAGGGTTATGAGATGGTCATATTGCTCCTTGCTGAAGCTATGACCAGTGGTCTCAGAAGACTGTCCATCAATGTGAGCATGATGAGGAAAAGGACCTTCAGATTGCATACAAGCAGCAGTCCTTTGTCTTTGGTGAATTTGAAGTCAGGGGGAAACCCATGAAGTTTGTAATACTTCTCAATAGTATGACTAGTCTTTTTGCAGTATTTGCAAGACAATTGAGAGGAAGAACCTAAGCCTCTCTTTTGGTCAAACTGGAACTTTTGAATAAAAGGTCTAGCAGATGCCTGGACAGGGCTGCTAGAAGCATTGAAAGAGGCTGATTCATTTGAGAAGCTGGAGATAGGAGCTGAAGTCTCCTTTTTCTTTTCATCATGTTGAAGCATATAATAGGCTTTGCTTAGGGATGGAAGGGATGTCATCATCAGAATATTACTCTAGTAGAATAGGACCCATTTAAACCACTAAGGAATTGGTATATTTTCTGTTGTTCAATGAATTTTGGTAAGGCTCCACAAGTACATACTGGTCTTACATAGAAAGTAATATGTTCATCCCAAAGACCCCTCAATTTTATAAAGTAAGTAGCAATATCTAATGGACTTTGAGAAGCAACACTGATTTCCCTTTGTATTTGGATATATTTTGAACCATTTGATGTCCCAAATCTTTCATTTATATCATCCCAAATGTCTTTAGCAGTGTCAAACCCCATGACACTATTTGCTATGTCTTTAGATAATGAATTTGTTAACCATGCAATTACTATGTCGTTACATCTTTCCCAAAAGGAATAATAAGGAGAGTTAATTTGAGGTTTAGAAACTTTTCCAGTTATGAGCCCTAGTTTGTTTTTTGCGGACAGAGCAGTAAGCATATTTTTATGCCAAATAACAAAACTATACCCATCGAAAGGTGGAGACACTAAGTGTGCTCCAGGACTATCAGATGGATGTACATAGAATGGGTGAGATGGATGTACAGTAAAGGCATCAAATCCATCTATCACAGAAGAAGAGCTAACATCTGGACTTCCCATGATTTAACCCTAGATTTTTAAAATTCCTAAAGTTGATACAAGAAACACTCGATTTTCACCAATATGTAGCAGGATTGAGGAGAATATTTCCGTCCTTCTTTGCAACCTAAAGAAGGTAAGGCCTTGAAATCGATAATATTGCTGAAATCGGCGAGAGTGAAGAAATACCGGAGAACAATACCGGAGAGCGGAAATCACCAAAATTACCGTAAAAACTCTAAATAGTTGCAATGCAGAATCAGATAACACCGTATCCCAAATCTTCACTTTAAAATATGAGGACAGATAGGATTGACGGAACCGAAAAACTCCATGAAAATCGATGAGGGTACCATCGGTCGAAAGAGAAAATCAAGGATCATTGATTCCTTGCTCTGATACCCATGTTAATGGTAGAAAATCGAGCTATGAGAAAGAATTTTATAGAAAAGAAACCCTAAAAAATAGAAAGAGAAGAGAGCGTTTTTATTTCATTGATATTGTCTCTGAATACATAGAAATGAATCACTATCTTTCAAGACCATTCTATCACTATATATAGATGAGGTATTACGAAAAATTACATGGACTAAACTGTAATAAAAAAAAGTTATAGTATAGTTAATTGGGCTGCTGGGTATCAGCTATTGTCGGGCCTGAAGTTGGGCTCCCGTTGACAGGTTCAAGTATGACAAACGATTTGGAAAGGCTAGCTTGATATTGTAACATGAAAAATAGAGTATTAGTCTGTAATATCCGATTAAATTTCACTGGTAGTATAAAAATTCTTTGCACTGTCATCAGTGTATATTAACTTAAAACTAGATTACAGATGATGGTCAATATATATTGCCTAAACATAGAAAATAGAGATACAACTCATTCAAGATTACAACTTACATACTATTTCTCTACATTAGAGAGCGGCGATCCTGAGCCCCTAAGTAACAATTAGGAACCCCACAAATGTACTCTTTGCATGAGTCAAGGTCATGTACAGAGAATTCTAGTTTACAAAATGATATTAGTAATATCTTGTAAATAAGATTGAACAGAAGATTCTCACTTGTTGAAATTAATTTCTCTTAAGCTCCATCAACTATCTAACTGCTTGTGCAACTGGAGAGCTAATAGCAGCTGTAGATGACAAATTACGAATGTTTTTCTTTGCTGGTTTCTTGCCCTCTGATTCTGGTCCACTCTGCCTCACTTTTACTCCTCGTATCAACTGATATATATCATTCAATAATTTTAACTCAAATGGCAACATAATTACGCGCTTAAAGTGACAACAAAATAATAAAGATATAACTTACATATTTGCCACACTTCATGTCCGCGTATATTACAATGAAATCGCCTTCTTGAAGTCCATTAGCTCGAACAAAATCGCCTTTTAGAATGGAAAAAGATTGCAATGAAAAGAGATTAGTACTTATATTTTTACTGAAATGCAAGTTAAGAGCTGTGGTCGACTGTGTCCACACCTGTGTTCTCAAGAAGGTACATCCTGCTTTTGTTATTTGGCCAAAATCTGGAAAACAAAACACAAGACCAATAAGCACAAAAAGGAAGACGAGTATAAATGATAAGGGATAAGAATAGATTGAGCAATGTAATTAAAACTAGCTTGACCATGGACAACTACTTCGAGTCCACGTACCTATATTTCATGTTCCAAACGCGAGAAGTTCCAACGTCTTCCACGGCGATTGAAATTCCATCTCTTGATTCAAGTTGAGGGAGATGAGTTTCTGCTTCTCTCTGCATATAAACAAAATTTCAAGAATCCACTTAATCATACTTTTAATTAGATCACAATTTATGACGACGTAGCTAAAGTACCTTCGGCAACACAATTCTTCCAAGATTGCCAACATCGCTCTGCTTCAGCACTTTTTGCAGGAGAAATTTTAGATTCTTCTCTGTTTTGCAAGCCTATGGAAGAACATCCACGCGAAATTTGATGAACATCCGCACAAAATATAAAGCAACACATTTATACAACAAAGTTTCATAAATATTAAACTTACAATAGACATTAGGGAGAGGATATAACTTATATTCATAGCCAGAGGCGGACCTATCCTATTCCGAGAGGGGTCATCGGCACCCGTAAAGTTAGGCAAATATTCCATGTATAAATGTATGTGTTTAGAAAATAGTTACTATATATTAGTAGTGGGTACACTATATATAAAGCAGATTGTGGTTGAATCCAAAAGTGCACCCCGACCTTCAAATCTTTGGTCCGTCTCTATTCACAACATGTATGAAGGGTGAGCCAAGAGCTTTTTATAATGGATTTTTGTTCAACTATATACCCCGAGCTCACCTATATCTTATTTCTGTTCTAGCTGGTGGATTCTCTCTTGTATCAATTTTGTAAAGAATTTCTTCATGTTGTAGCAGATAATCTATCTTATTTCTAATCTATCAATTCCACCTTTTAATGGACTACTGGTAGTTAATATAAAAGAGGGAAGAGGTGCACAAAGCATCCCGCATTCACGCAGGGTCCGAGGAAGGGCCGCACCCCAAGGGGGTATAATATAGGCAGTCTACCTGATGCTTCATCATTGGCGGATTCCACGGCTAGGTCATACAAAGACAACTTAACCGTTGCCCCAAGACTCCGCTTCTGACTACTTGTAGTTATATATTAGATGATTAAACTCGTACATTGTTAGTTGCATAAAAGTTGAACTCGAAAAGGATTTTGGCTGAAACTAAGGAAACCAACCTGTCTTTTGTCTGCCAAACTATGCTTCTGATGGTTCTGTGATCGCAGAGCTGGCCTCTCAGTAGAATATGATTGTGGAGAATCAGCCGGTGGAACCATCACCATTGGCGAAGCAGCAGCAGCAGTAGGAGGCCAATATATCCAATTTCCTGGACTGTTACCTGTATCTATTGCAGAATTCTCTCCAATCATTACACTTTGGTCATTAATTTGTCTTTGATTCTGAACTTGGTGGCGATAATGGTGCACCGGTAATCGTCTCTGCCTTGCCATTCTGTTCTTCCTAGCCTCTTTAGATCCCAACCTTGCCAATCTCTCACCATTCCCGTCTAAAAGTTGGTACGGATATTGCGTACCAAATAAAGATTGAGGCTGATCAACAACAGCAACATTATTAGCACTATCACTATAGTCAGGAAATTTGTTATACTGAGAAGCAGCCGCCACAGCAAATTGCGATGGCGACCACGATCGAGTATAGTCCATGGGTTGATATTCTGTTGAAGCTGGTGAACTTGCACTTCCACTCATTGTTTGATTAAACGGGGGCACAAATAACGATCCGTTAGTGTAAGGATCACCAATGTACCCCGGTATCTGCCCCGCCATTACAGAGGCGGAATCGGGGAAATTAGGGATGTTATAAGCAGCAGTTGCCATCCAAGGTGACTGATAAAAGCAAGCATTTGGATCAGCCGCAACAGTATTATAATGGAAATTGGAGTTTGGGGCAGAAATCTGAAAACTTTCTTGATTTGCTGCAGCTTCACTCATTTGTTTCTTTTGCAATCTGTGTTGTTCAACCCAATCAAGAATGAGTCTCAACAACTGTTTTTTACCTTCTTTTGTACTTCCTAATCGTTTCGAAGCGCTTTCAATTGTTGAACGTTTGAGCTTAATACTCCTCATATCTTCAGCAGAAATGTAGTCTTTGATTTGCTTTAACCATTCAAAGAACATAAGTGCAAGTTCACTATCCCCTTGAAATATAGAAAGTTGCTCATTTTCAAACTGGACTTCCCCTTGTTGTTGTTGTTGTTGGTGTTGTTGGTGTTTTTCTGGATTTTCACTTTGGGAAAAAGAGTTCATAGGATCAAGAAACTTATGATTTCCATCAATTAAATCCATGTAACCAAGATTTTCTATCACATTTAGACAATCTTGGTCGCCATTTATTGTGTTATCAAATTGGATTTTCTTGTGGAAAGATAAAGAATCTGTAGGAGGGGAATTAGAAGTTGAGGAGGAAGAGGACATGCATGGAAAATCAGGAAGAGGAGGAAAATCAGTAGAGAAATTAATGTAATTATTGTCATTGACGTTAAAATGACGTTGTTCTTCATTTCCATTATTGAGCCAAATATCTGTATCATCCATAGGATCAAAATCAGTTGGCTGCTGCTGTTGCCTCTGAATATCATCATCCACTGTCACCATATTAATATTCTCAAATCCATGCATTTCTTGATTATTATTACCATATAGCTGCTGTAACTCTCTTTTCATTCTTGTTTTCTGGATTTTTGACTAGAGATGAAATGTGTATAATGGATATGTATCTGATTAAGGAAGCAAGCTAAGTTAAGACAAGAAAAATTAATGGTTTTCTTTAATTTCTCTCCTCATTAGGATCTTGAGTGGTTTTTGCAACATAAAACTATCTGAGGTTTTGGAATTTATATATCCAAAAAATAAATAGTACTACCAAATCTGAAGAAAGCGACTCTTAATTAATAAACTTTAACTAATTAAAATACTCACTATCACTGTATAATAAACTTATGTAAGTACCTGTATAATAAGGATTACTCTTACAAATATTTATGCAGGAATATTCTTTATAAATGGAAGATAGAAACAAGAAATTTCAAAGAACTGAACTATGTATCCTTGTGTTTTAGAAGACAAAAACACCACCAAACTTCAACAAACTAAAATTGTCTCATACCCCAAATAACCAAAACAACACTTGTAGACAGTTCAGATAAGTTTCAACACTCTTTTACTATTTTCTGTTTTTATTTAAAGGGATTTTGAACCAAAAATAAGACAGAAAAACTTTGAAAGGCAAAAAGAAATAGAGGTTACAAAAACTTTTATAAATGAGAGAGATGAGATATATAAGAGTGAAACACTCAAAAGAAAACTTGGTGCCGATGGTTTTTCTTTTTCCACTAATTAATTCAAATTTCCAGATTTTACGCCATAAGGCCATACGTTGTAACCTGAATGGTGCAAGCCAACGGTGATCAGTTTTTATACTACAAAAAATGAGGTGAAAAAAGACTTAATGTTTTTATTCCTCCATTGATGACATGACACAAGCAGCTCAATTCTCTTTCTAATACAAGTATATACAACACATCAGAACATGGTCTAAAAATATTAAAACATGGAAAAGATTGAACCGACTGGGAAATAGTAATGTCAAAAGAAGTAAAGAACAGATCTTTCTTTGGTCATAGGGTTTTGTCTCCATTCGTGAGTGAAAACGGTGGACTTCTTCTTTTGCTGCTACGTGTCTCTTCACTTCTGACCAAGCTACGTTAACATTAACATAACATAAAAACAAAGATACCGACCAGGGATTGTGGTGGAGTGATAAGTACTCATTCATCTATCACCGAAGATTTTGGGTTCGAGTTCCTGGGTATAAAGTCGCCTTTATTAGAGAGCACTTTACCTCTCAATATGGAACTTTTCGATGCGAATCTAGATTTATTCGGGATCCAACGTGGGTATCGAATACTAGGTGAAAAACCAAAAAAAATATAAAAACAACGATTTATCTTATAATGGTATAAAAATTAGTTGATATTATGCATGCTTGATTTGAGCCGAAGGTATATAAAAAATAACTTTTTTACCTGCACAAAGTATAAGGATAAGATTGTGCATTCACTATTTTCTTCAATCTTTTTTTGTGAAATTATACGGAGTATATTATTAATGTTATTGGTATAAATTGTAAAACATCACGACAAGCTGGTTAAAGATGAAGGAAGATCGGACAAAATTGATCAGCGTGAAAACATGGGATTTCACTACAAGAAATAGGGGATACGTATAAATGTCGTATTATGGTGCTTAAATATCATAAATTTAATTGCCGATATTTAATTTATATTTGACCTAAATATCGTAAATTCACTGTCGGAAATTTTCCGACATTTAGGTAAATGTCGTAGAAAGATTTGCGATATTTATTTATAGACTTTTATGAAAATGTCACTTGAATTTTCTGACATTTAAGGTAATATTGGTAAAATATTTACGACATTTATTATAGACATTAAGAAATGTCACATGTATTTTCAAACATTTAGGTTAATGTCAATAAAAACATTTACGATATTTCTTTAGAACTTTATGAAATGTCATTAAAATTTTTGACTTTCCTGAAAGATAATAATAATCAGTTATTTAGTTCACTATTCATGACACTAATACTTATTCGTGCATTTGTAAATATCAAACATCATACACAATGTAACAAACACAAATTATATGTAAAGTGAATGCTTTCAGTACTGTATCCAAAGAACAAAAGTAGTGATCGAGTAATTGTACTCGGTACAAATTTGAACAATTTAAAAGATGTCAACATAAAATTGCACCAAGATCGCTCATAACTCAAATTAAGTCCTTTAACTTGTACAATAAATACAACGACAACGTGGATCCATCTTTTCACAACTCAAGCATTTCCTTGCCAGTAATTGAACTGACATCCTTCAAAAGCTACACAAAAATTCCACATAAAAAGAATTATAACAATATAATAAAGGAAAAAAAGTAAAAGTGCCCTGTATATTTTTTTTTCAATTCCATTATTTCTAGTCTTATGGATTGTAACAAGCAAGAACTATTATAATAATAGTACTTCGATAGATTAAGGAATTCAAAGCTAAGAACTTTACCAGGAACATGACAAACTATTGCAACTCATGTAAGCTGTTGTATCATTCTGCTTCTGGTGCAAAAACGGAGGACATCAGTTAGAAGAAATTTTCCAAAGCAACAAAGATCTCATAAAACTTCTACTAAACATACGATAAGTGATCATCGCAAACTTGAATCTATCTTTTCCGAAATTGATACTAGCATAAAAGTTAACATATTCAAGTACCATAAGGCAAGACATCTCCATTTCTTTCAAAGGTCTTTTTTTTTTCAACTGAAACATGAGGAAGAAAAAGTGTCACAATCTCAAAAGGATGACAACTTGTCTTATTCTTTTCCGCAACTCATTTAAAAGCGAAAATTGAATAAGTAAGACATGTCATGGCTACATTACCACTTATCAGTGTCAAGAATGTTAGCATCCATCTTACGGTGACATAAAACGTATGAAGAAGGGATAAAACAGAGCAATACTTTTATAATATCATAACTATAGTCGATAAAGATCCTTAATAACACCAAAAGCACCTTAAGAGGAAAGAGGGAAGATTTGATTAACTATTATCTTACTTTCAGAAGCAGTAAAAATTGAAATAGTCAAACGAACAACAGCTTCAACAATACCAATCTGTAATAAAACAACTACAACAATATATACCAAAATACATGCATCTAAACCCTAGAACACACACCATATAATTGACCCAACGGCATAGCCTATCATTCTAAACATCAATTATTCAACAACATAAGTAATTAAAAAGAAAAGGAACGAAAAAATATATATAAAAAACCNTATATGGGAGTAAACAATAACGACAAAAGTTGCTGAAATCAGAATCGTCGTGATGGCAGAAAAAGATATAGACATTAAAATTGATATAGCGATAGAGAGAGATGAGTTAGGATTACCTCATGATGTGGCCGTCGATTATGGGAGAAAAGGGAAAGTGCGGCAATCGTTATAAGAGAATTGACGGCGTGGGGAGCAAAATGAGGCAAAGGCGGGGTTTGAATTATTAGTAATCTTATTGTGGAGGGAATAGGAGGAAAAAAATTTACATTTTAACTTTTAATTATTACTATCTTTTAGTGGTTATTTCCTCCAAATATTGACTGATATGATGACACTATAACTAAAAGTGTCACTAATTTCCATCTAAATATAACATTTAAGTTAATAGTCGCAATATTTTGTGACATTTTAAACAAAATGTCACTGTTTTGTGACATTTCTAAAGAAAATGTCAGGAAATTATATATTTTTCGACATTTACGTCAAATGTCACTAAATAAATGTCGTCGTATCTATGATTTCTTATAGTGATTTTCTAGTCGACGCTAGGAAAATAAAGAGAAGGATGGGTAGTATAGGCCATAGAACAAAAAGATTGAAATTGAAAATTTGATAGAATTTAAGAATTTAATTAATGAATTTAATTTTTTTAATTTTTAAGATTAGACTGATTGTTCTTTTAAAATTATATATATGTTCAATATTTCTATCCTCTTTGTTTACATATTTACCTATTTTATATATATAAAAAAATTAAATTTAGTTGAGCTTCTATCGATTTTAGTTGGGAAGAACGGTTCTTGTCCCATGCAGCGGGGAAAAATAGCTATTCATTGGTTGGTTTAGTTTAAATTCGTGCTCAGTGTGGTTATTTGGCCTTAAGTCCCTCGACTTAATTAGCTTAGCTATTTAATAATCTTGAAACATCGCTAATTTTTTCCTAAGTCTTGAATATGAAGTTGTATTTGTTAGAAAATATATTATTATTATAAAAAATTTGGCACAATTTTTAAATTTTTGGGGGTCTAATAGTGCAATGGTGTAGTCATATGCATTGAAGAGTGGTGTATATATAACCTTATATTGTGTGTATAGGTCAAAATTATTTTTATATGTATATATTAAATTTTAAATATTCTTTGCGAAATTTTTGACTTTATTACTACCATAATGTATAGGGTGAAAAAATACGTATCTAATTTCTCTTTTGTTAGTTTTTTCTCTCTCGTGGATCGCTCAATTCGCTCGAATTCTTGGGGAAAATGAGAGAGTAGAATTTGATATATCGAAACGGATCTCTATTCCTTCAATCAAATCTTTGAATTCATTTTTTCAGTAAAGTCAATTGATTCAAAGGAGAATATGAAATTCATTGGGCATGAGCGTCAACAACTTTCTCATACAGTCTTTGCTTGCCACGTGGCACTCCATCCGGTCCATAATAAGTGACCAATTTGTTTTTGACACGCCTATTAAGAAAATACAAAAATTCTATACAAAAATATCTAGTATGACTAAACTACTCTTAATTAAATATTTAATGTGAGGAGTAAAAAAACTTTTTAGGGATATGTACATAAGAGTAATTTGTAAAAACAAATTGAATTCTTTCTTGATTATATAAATTGACACTTAATTTGGACAAAAATAAAACAATAAATTGGTCACTTATTATGGACCGGAGGGAGCTACATTATAAATTTACTCGAGGTAACAGCATAAAGGAGTCATATATCTGCAACTACAGAAAATACATCAAACTCGCAAACTCTTCGGTCTGCGGTTTCAGCTAACTGAAAATTAAAGAAAAAAACAAGTCTTAATATTGTCAAACATAAAGGAAAAAAATATTATAAGGAAGAGATAATGTCTCTATTCATTGAAATGTTATGCTTTAACTCAGTTCTTGCTGTTCATGCTCTTATTGACATTTTCCTTTATAACCTCTGTGGATTCTTCAGCCTTTCCCTTCACTGTATCTTTCATTTTTTGTGTGGTTTCCTTAACTGAATCCCATGTTTGCTTTGCCTTTCCAGCCACCTCTTGTGCTGTGTCTGCTACCTTATCTCCCATTGCTTTCGTCTTGCGTATTGCCTTTCATATACACATCGAAAATAAGTATATATTGACTGATAACTTTAAATGAACGGTAAGTAATTCTTATAATATAACAAGTTATACAATCATATCATTAAAAAATAGAATTATAGATGACTACATACTATTAGACATTTATATAGCAGTCATCCTTTATAATAACAATTTACTATAATTAATAGTTAAATTTTTTGGAATCAAATTTTCATGTTATATTATAGTATATGTTTTTTATAATAGTACTTCACTATAGCAGTCAAAAAAATATCAAAACAAACCGATTGTTATAGAAAAATTTGACTGATAACAAGTATTGATTGATAATTGGCTGAGAAAACCCAAGTCTATCTACCAACGGCTAATGCTATGCTGCTTCAATTCACCATTCTTTGGATCAAATAAAGACAAATGAAGATATTAATCAAGTGCTCTAGCACATTGACAAAGCACTAGATCTTAGAGGACATGAAATTTCTAACTTTTATGTCAATATATTCGTGTAAAATTTCTTTAAACTGCTATACATAAATCATATATAATGAAATATATGTTACAAAAATTATATGTTCATCACAAGAAGTATAGATGAAATCAGAGGTGGACCAAGAATTTTAAGGGGACGAAGGCATAATATTATGTTCAATTAGTCGCCCCTAAAAACTTTTAGCTAGCTTAGCGTTAAGGATGTCAAGTAATTTATTAAATTTACTATTTTCAATATATACACAAATATTTACTAGTATAAAATTTCTGTCGAAATTTACGAGATTTGATGACCCTTCAACATAACACATAGGTCCGTCTCTGAATGACACGATATATTGTATATAGACATTATAGGTAAACACCGGGTGCCTGTAAATTTATATTACCTCGTCAGCAGCAGAAGCAGTCTCGCTTTTAACTTCTTGGCTGGCTCTCTTGGCGGCATCAGCCCCTTGCTTCATTGCATCAGCACCCTTTCGTACTGAGTTTTGAGCCTCATCTTTAAACGCCGTGGCTAGGTGACGATTTGTTGTCCGCTGCACAATTTCATGTATTACACATTAATTAATGCTTAAAGAAAGTACCTTATTAATGGCGATATGAATTATTAATAGCAACATGGCAGAGCCGGATGTGTGATTATAGGTCATAGATTCGAGCCGTGAAAGCAATCAATAATGCTTGCATTAGGTTAGCCTGTCTACATTCACATCCCTTGAGGTGTGGCCCTTTACGTGACCCCGCATGAACGCGGGATGTCTTGTGCACCGAGCTGCCTAACGTGGCAGAGACACTTTGTACAAGACTGTCATGATATATATATATATATATATATATCCAGTGAAATTTCACGAATGAGATCTGGGGAGGATAGTGTGTACGTAAATCTTACCCCTACCTTAACGGATAGAAAGATTGTTTCTGATAGATCCTCGGCTCAGGAAATATATATACGATGTAACATTAATTTAGAACACGAAGGCAAGCTTTAGACCAAGTTATAATTTAATAATAGGTCGATATTGCTTACACAAAATCTCATGTACGGCACTATCTTCTCAAAAACTTTAATATGGATTTACATCCGATAGATAGATCATAAATTCAAGTTATATTGGAAAGTAAAAAAGAATTAGGGGGAAAAAACAATAAGCACCTGGAAAGTTCTGAATGCTCCACTAAAAATAACTCTACTAAGAGCAGACGTCATGCTTGCCATATCTCTCTAATTGAATTTTTTTTTAAATTTGTTTCTTGAAATTAATTTGCTTCTTCTATTCTTTTTTTACTCTACTTTCTAGTAGAGTTATAAATAGGGAAAGATTGCCAATATTTTCTCTATTTTAATGGCTGACAAAAATTCCCTTAGGATTTGAGGTAATTTCAATGCCTTTCTCCCGAGTTTAAGCTAACCATAGTTGGGGAACTTACAGGAGCAATACACGGATCACTGTCTACTTTAATGCCTCTAAATCTTTTTTTTTTCCTTTTTTAAACCAAATAAATAGTACCATAAATAAATCGAGTATTTAGAACAATTTTTTTCTGTTGCTAAATCTCTTTCTTCTTTTCAGGTTATTTACTCATACCCGATTCTTACACCAAATCATACTAATTTATTATTTTTGGAATATAATATTAATTAACCATAATTAGTGATAAAATGCAAACTCCTATATAAGTGAGTAAGTTTTTTTTTTCTTTTAGAAATATATATTTTTAGCCGATTTAAAAAATAATAACCGACAATATATATATTTTTTGTATTTATGTGTACTATATATAGAGAATGTACATATTTTATACACTTATTGACTAGCGAATGCAATTAATTCTGACCGACTAGCTAATTTTGTATTTTGCCCAAGTGTTTTTCCGATTCCATTCTTTATACGTTTTTGGTATTCAAATATAAAAAAAAAAAAAAAAAAAAAAAAAAAAAAAAAAAAAAAAAAAGAGAGAGAGAGAGAGAAATAGTCCACGTTCAATCATAACGATTAGTCATAGAAGATAAGGATTAGTTGACAGAAATGAACTGATAGAATGTATATAAAGGACTTTCATTATATTAATTGATCATACTGAATATATGGATTTTGGAACATCCAAAAACTGTGGAGAATACAAATTATTCATGATCAAATAAAATAGCAGTAATTAAAAAGTAATTTAACTAAGGATCAGCACAATAACAGCCCAAAATCCCAGCACCAATCTTGGTACAAACACCATTCTGATATCCTTCCTTAATACAAGCTGCATTACAATCTGGAAATTGAGAACATGGTCCCAAAAGGATCACATCTGCTGCTTCACTTGAAATCAAAAGAAGAGCCAAACAAAAGAATCCAATTAGTAAAATAGATGTGTTAATGGCATTCACCTTTCCTTTAGCCATTTTACTGTCTGTTCTGTTCTGTTCTGACTGTCTATCTGTTTGTCTCGTCCTGTGTACAAGCATGTATATCTTGAAATGTTTATTTATACAAAAAAATTGGTCCTCTTTTGGAATATTCTTAACACTATATATTATGTTAGATTATGTTCATTGTATAAAATCAACTGAATAGACCTCCTATAGAAATTTTATTTTTTACTTGCTATAATAAAATATTTTCTATATAAAAGGAGCTGAACCGGATCTTGATTGGTCAATTCAGGTAGTTATGGTAACACACTAATGTGCCAAAGTTCCCTATTAACCGTGAAAATGCTATTACGTATCAATATCAAACTCTCCAAATAAGCAAAACTAATAATATGGCGAAAACAAATACTGAAAGATAATTAAGGGGCAATCTACTAATTTTTACTACTTTGCAACATCCAAATCGTTCCTTTTTCAATGTACATTTTATGTCTAATATTGGTCAAATTTTGATCCTTTTTTTTTTCTGTCGCTAGTCAAATCTTAACGTGACCTTTGCATTTTTCTATAGGAGACATTGTCAAGAGAAGCTGCCATTTTTAAAAGTTTTTTCTGGCCAGTTTCTGTACAGAGATACATACAAGAAAGTTGAGCGAAACTGCAAACGACACAAAGGTCCTAAATATACTAGGTATCAAATGCACATTTCAAGAAAAACTTTTAACAATACACTTTGTACCATCTTGTTAATTAGAAAATCCAAATTAGATGAGAAAGTCAATAATTTCCCAAAATTAATTGGCTCTCTTTAACGTGTGCATTGCATATTACAATGTCTGTAAGGTGTATCATCGACAAATTACTTGGAAATCTAATTAATACTGATATTAATTTTTTTTCTATAAAATCTTTCACTGCAAGTCCTTGCGTTTTCTGCAATCATGCCCTGAGCGGGCTTGTTGAGGACGCTTGTGTAACGATCCGGCCGATCGGTTTGAGAGTTATAGACCCGTTCCCCCATTTACTGCTCATTTTATGATTAATTATTGTTATGGGACTTGCCGGGGTAGTTGATTCGGTTCCGAGGATGTTTCAGAATGAGTTGAGACACTTAGTCTCAAGGTTGGAAGCTTAAGTCGAAAAGGTTGACCGGATGTTGACTTATGTATAAACGACTCCAGAATGGAGTTTTGATGGTTCTGTTAGCTCCATTGGGTGATTTTGGACTTAGGAGTGTGTCAGGATAGTGATTTGGAGGTCCATAGTTGAATTAGACTTGCAATGACGAAAGTTGAAAATGTAGAAATTTGACCAAAAGTTGATTTTATAGTTACCAGGCTCGGATTGAGGTTTCGGGAGTTGGAGTAAGTCCGTTGTATTATTTGTAACTTGTGTGCAAAATTTGAGGTCAATCTGACGTGATTTGAAGGGTTCGACATCGAATGTAGAAGTTAGAAGTTCAAAAGTTTATTATGCTTGAATTGATGAGCGATTAGTGGTTTTAGCGTTGTTTGATGTGATTTGAGAGCTCGACTAAGTTCGTATTGTATTTTAGGACTTGCTAGTGTGTTTGGTTGAGGTCCCGGGGGCCTCGGGTGAGTTTTGGATAGTTAACGGATCAATATTTGGACTTGAAAGAATACTGAAGATTTCTGGTGTTCAGGTATGGTTTTCTTATACGCGATCGCGTGGGAAGGTCCGCGATCGGTAGGCTTAATTGGGCAGTAGAGGTCTTTGTTCTACGCGTTCGCGAGATAGGGACTGCCATCGCATAGTTGTGGGATGCAGTGGATCACGAACGCGTGGTTAAGGTCGCGTTCGCGTAGAGTATATGAGACAGCAATTGAGGTCACACGTTTGTTCCATGCAAATGCGTGCGTTTATCCACGATCGCGTAGGCTTGGGAAGCCTATGCTTCGCGTTCGCGTGAGTTTGTATGCGATCGCGTA